TGCTTTCCTGCATAGCCTGGGGCTGGCTGGGAACTGTCCAGGTCAGGGGTAGGTCCCAGCCAGCTCCAGGTTGGGCAGGGAACTGTCCCCATGCAAGGAGCTCCTAGCCCCTGCTTCATGATCACAATTGTAGTTGAGGAGTGGGGTCTGGGGAGCTTGTTCCCAGCCCCAGTTCTGTGATCACAAAGCTGGGTGGGGAAGAGGCTACCCTGTCCCCTCCATGACTTCAGAGATGGTGCTGAGAGACCCTTATCTCCCAGCATGAGGTCTGAGGTCGTGGGGCTCAGGCTGGGATACTCCCACCTCTTTTCCTTGGGACAAGTGCCAGTACAGTGGGGAGAAACTCAGGCTCTGTGAATCCCACACATATGTTTTGATATGAATGCCAATTATGATATTAGATATATCTGCAGATTTCTCTCAATATTATCTCAGTCAGGACTCCCAGTGATGAAAGATTTAGTTTAGAATTACTAGACTTTTCAGTCCCCTCATGCAAAATTAAAATTTTGTTCTGTAGTGGAATGAGTTGTAACTGTCAAGGGGCATATTAAAAGATTTCTGGCCATAATGTCATCCAAACATGTCTTCTTGGTCCATATCACTTCTCTTTTTAACATTCACAGGTAAATGTCTTGCTGTTAGTAGGGGGCAAAATTCTATTTAGTCATACCATCCATTACACCTGCATAACATCCAGCCCAAGTCACAAATGCCTTTCATGAGAGTTTTGGGTATCCATCATATGGGGAAAAAACAACAAAACAACAAACTAACCAAATGGGAAATATATTTAGGTGCCCCCATATACAAGCAGGTGTTTAATTTTAGGGATAATATTTCACTTTTTAAAGTTTGCCTGTATTAGCTTTAAAGGTCAGTGATTCTGAAAGACTGGGCCCAGATACTATTCTGCTTGCTAGACATCTAAGATGTAACAACTGCTTACTCCAAAAAAATGCATCAGTCCTCAGACTGATGACTGTTCCACTCTGGAGGGTGCATAGCTCATGTATATTCCCGTTGGACAGTAGCCTAAGTCTAATTGACTAAGGATCTTTTCAGGCCAAAATAGAAACATATAAGGCATCTAACCATCTTTAGTATTTTTGTGATTGCTGTGGAGAATGGAGGAGAATCATGCTTGACAAATTTGAGGCCTAAACATCACATAAGTGCCACTTATACATCTTGGAAGTGACACAAAATCTGGGCCTAGGCATCTCCAAAAGATGGGATTGTGATGGGATACAGGGGCTTCCATATCTAAATTGAGAGTCTGAATCCAGACAAGGCTGTTAGGGTTTTTATAATCTAACAGAAGTGTAGGAGAATCTGCACACCAATATCAAAACCAGCTAAAATTAATTAGTACCACATTAGCATACTTTCAGCAAAGTGTCTAAAATAGGTTGATAGTTTATGTTACTTTCTCATCTTTAGATGTAGACCTCAGGGCTGAGGAACATTGATAGAAGATGTATACCTTTTGAACCTGTCCCCTGAACAAAGACTATTCCAATTGTTAGTGTCATGGGGTGGGGTTCCCAGGGGTTGTCATGATGCCCCTGGTGGCTCCACGACTGTGCCAGTTCCGCCCCAGGAGCTCCCTTTTCTCTTGTCTGCCATGTCTTGCTGGTAAAATAAATTGGGAGGCTGCCCATGGGCTTTTGCATAGCCCCAATCTGCTGAACCTCACTAGAACTCAGTGGTCCTTGAGCCCTTTGCCGGGTCTTTCTTCAGTACTGTGCTGTATGGGGAACCAATGAGCCTCATGGGCTAATTGCATGGCCCAAACCTCCCTTATACTACACCCCATGCCTTGTGGGTGTTACATGGATGTTGTTCCCTCTGTCATGGCTTGGCCTACTCAGCCTCCACCCATTTAATTTAGTTAGGTTTTCTAGCCTAGGCCCACTGTATCAGACTTGAATTTGAGGCAGTAGCTCTGATCAGTCTCTTCCTGTCACTGGGGTCCTGGCCTCTATCTGCTGGGCCCTCAATCCCTACCTGACTGCACCCATCTGGTGCCAGGCCCTTGGCCCCTGTGAAGCTGCACCCCTTTGGTGCTGGGGCCTCTGGCCTCTCCAGCCTTTTGAGTAGCTGCGCCCCTCTGGCACCCAGTCTTTTGGCCTCTCTGGGAGACTCTCCAGCCTCTTCAGTAACTGGGCCCTCTGGCCTCTCTGGTCCCGTGAGTAGTTGTGCCCCCTCTGGTGCCGAGTGCTCTGGCCCATGTCTGGTTATGCCCTCTCTGGGCACTAATAAGGTCTCTGTACCTCCCCTTACAGCTTCATCCCAAACCTCTGGCACAACAACACCACAAACATAAGCCCTCATGCTATAATATAACACTAAGAATAAAGGCAGCACTCTGCCCCTTTTAGAGGGCAAGCTTCTTCCCCTAGGATAGCATGCCTCCTAGCTCCTTGTGAACTCCTGGAGTCTAACTGCCATCAGAGGTAGCAAAACAGGCAGCAAAATGTCACAGGGTCACACTCTTGTGCAGGAGCTCTTTACCCTGGCAGTTGCCAGACAGCGTGAACTCCCTCCTAGCCCCAGCCCTGGGGCTTATATGTGCCCAGGGCCCTGCCTCCTTCCTGTCAGCTGACTACCTGCAAATGCCAACTTATTATCTCATTTAGTCTGTTGCTCAGGCATCCTGCAGCTGTGGAGCTCTGCCTAGCCTGAAGGGCCCTGGGGCTAGGCTGCTTCTGCCATTAAAGGAGCAGACACATCTTAGTGCCCTGTGACCATTAGGATTTCATGTTAAGAAGTTTTTTAAATATCAGATTAGTTGACTGATTTCTCTAGTATTCTCAAAGTTAAATATTTATGTACTGAAATGTTCTCCAGCTACCTGGTAATAGATAATACCTGTGTAATTATTTATATGGGAGTATTTACACATGAGTGATTTTATTTAATTTACAGTGACTTTTCTTCTTTTTTGTATTAATATTTTGTACAACAATTTAAGTACTTCATGATGCTTTGCAGTCTAGTTGTGCAAAACACTGTCTTTTCCTAGCTTGAGTTTGGTAGATTTAAGGAGGCATGGTGATTTTCAAAGTGATGATCTTAAAAAAAGGAAAATTGTCAGAATAAGTGAAAGGATTTGCAGTATCAATCCTTCAGATTTAAAAAAAAGGCAGCAGCAGAAATTATTTTGCTCAAAATTGGCTCTGTGTTGCATTTGTCAACAATAGGCCTGAAGAGGACCCAAATAAGTTCTCAGAAAATTTGAGGCATCCCTCTGTGTGTAAATTCACATAAAGGATTGTAGAAAACCCCTCATGATAAAAATAGTTCATTCTTCAATTAGATATAAATACATAAACCAAACTAAAATACAAATCTCCAAGTGATAACTTCATCATACAGCTGGAAACAGTATAATGATTGATAGTACTGCAGTTCTCCAAAAAAGTGTATAAGAACTTACGTTATACCTCTTCCAATGTTGCAAATGAAAAACTGCATGCTACTTTTCTCGAACACTGTAGAGTGTTACTATGAATATATCTTGTATGTACAAAGCACCATAATTATGGCCAAAAATGCTTAGTTTTTAACATTAAAGTTGCTTTATGCTTGACTCTTAATTACCAGACTTGTTTCATTGCATATCCTAGATATCTGTGTTACTAAACAGAACTGTCAATTCATTTAATATGCACAATATTGTTATTCTCAAGAGCCTCCAGTGGAATTCAGAATGAAAACAAAGTTTGTTTTTACAGCAAACCCCTATAAATGTTGCCTTAGTATTAGAAAGCATTAATCACTTACATTCTTCATAATGTATAACAACATGAAGCAAGCATGTGCATGACTGGGGAGAAGAGAAAAGCAGTTGTAAATTTATATTATTATTTATTTCAAGCCAATATTACTTAATTTCTGGAAGTTCAAAATCAAACTTTGTTAGTTTTGCATTAAAAAAAAGTTTTCATTACTTTTTCAAGCTACCAATTAAAAAAAATATCAACTACCACATTAACTTTGTGGGAAGTTATGAACATTCTTGCAGATTTTGCACTTTTGGAGACCCTCAAGTAGTAACAAGAGAGCCTAAATCAGATTTAGATATTTGCTCTGTAAGTATTTTGATCAGCAACCAGGTTATGGACCTAATGGTAGCAAACTGTCAGAGAAGCTTTTCATCTTCCATTTGAAATGTTCAATTCATGCCAATTAGAACACAGCTTTCCTGGTTCTTGCCACAAGCAATTGCTTTGCATTGAAAATTAAATGTCAGAATGATTGAAGGGTGCCTAGGCCAGAAATACAGTTTAACCTTGCTAGTTCCAAAGAATCTGAGATGGCATTTTATTTTTTGTATGTTAGTATAAACAAAAAACTATTATTTTGGAAAAAAATGTATGTTTTTATTAACACCAGGTCCCACAACCACTTATACACCTGAATCAAGCCTTGTTGCATATATTTGCATATTCAAGTTACTACGTTGAATATAAGCATTTAGATTCAATTATTGCAATACATGCTCATAAATACTATTTTGTAAAGCAAGAAGTGTCTTGCTAATGAAAGGCCTCCCTACAATATGCTCCTAATATTCTCTTTTGCAAGATAAAAAAAGACATTTGGGGGGGGGGGGGGG